TTTTCTTTTCTTTTCTTTTCGTTTCGTTTCTTTTCTTTTCTTTTCTTTTCTTTTATTTTCTTTTCTTTTCTTTTTTTTCATTTCTTTTCTTTTCTTTTCGTTTCTTTTCTTTTCTTTTCTTTTCTTTTCCTTTCTTTTCTTTTCTTTTATTTTCTTTTCTTTTCTTTTCTTTTCTTTTCTTTTCTTTTCTTTTCTTTTATTTTCTTTACGTTTTTTTTTTTTTTTTTTTTTGTTGTTTTTCCTCGTTTCTTTTCTTTTCTTATCTTTTCTTTTCTTTTCTTTTCTTTTCTTTTCTTTTCTTTTCTTTTCTTTTCTTTTCTTTTCTTTTCTTTTCTTTTCTTTTCTTTTCTTTTCTTTTCTTTTCTTTTCTTTTCTTTTCTTTTCTTTTCTTTTCTTTTCTTTTCTTTTCTTTTCTTTTCTTTTCTTTTCTTTTCTTTTCTTTTCTTTTCTTTTCTTTTCTTTTCTTTTCTTTTCTTTTCTTTTCTCGTCGTCGTCGTCGTCGTCGGTGTGGCCTTCCCCCGGTCCCCCTGCCCTGTCCCCCCCGGCCTCACCTGGAGGCCCTGGCCTCCGTGGCCTCCCCTGGGGTTCCCCGGCCTCTCTACTTGGCCTCCCTGGCCTCTTTGCCCCCCTTCGGATTGCTTCCCTCAATCTCTCCCGCACAGATGCGCTCTGGAGCTCGGAGCACTCCATTTTCCTCGTCGTTCGTTCGCTCGCTCGTTGCCTCTACCCCCCCCTTCCCCGGGCGCCCTGGTCCCTGTCTCCTCACGATAGTCCTGGTGGCCCCAGGAGAACAGCAGGATGGTTCCAAGACCCCCCCCCGCACCGTCTCCTCGCACCGTCGCCCTCCCTCGTGCAGGAGCCAGGGCATGCGTGCCACTCGTTCTCGCCGTCGTGTCGACGCGCCGTCGTGGCCCCCCCCTGGCCTCCCTGCCTGCCTGGTATCCCTGGCCTCCCGAGGTCCCGCTGCCCTGACCCTCCCTGGCCTTCCTCCCTGGCCCCCCCCCCAGGGCTTCGGGCCGCTTTCTTTTCGTCGTCGTGCCGTCGCGTCGTCGTGGCCCCCTCCGCCCTGGCCTCCCTGGCAGCCCTCGCCGCCCTGGCCTCCCCTGGCGCCCCTGCCCTGGCCTCCCGGGGCCTCCCTGGGCCTCCCCCCTCCCGGGGCTCCTGCTCCGTCCTCTCGGGCAGCAGTGCTGCAGGAGCTCGGAGCCCTTTTCTCTCGCGGCCGTGGCCGTGGTCGTCGGGCCCTTCCGGCCGGGCCCCGTGGCTCGGAGCCCCTCGCCTTCGCCGCCGCCGCCGCCGTCGTCGTCGTCGTGCGCCGCCCTGGCCACCGCGGGGGCCTCCCTGGCTTCCGTGCCCCTGGCCCCCCTCCGCTGCTCCCCCCCCCTCGCCGCTCCCCCGCACCAGAGCCAGGGCGCGCGCTCGCCGCTCGTTTGCTCTCCGAGAGCAGCGTCTTTTTGTTTAGTTTTGTTTTGTTTGTTTGGTTGTTTTAAACATATATATATATATGTGTGTATGTATTTATGCCTTTTTTTTTCCTCGCTGGAGCGCTCGTGCTGTTGTGCTGTTGCTTTAAGGGGGGGGGCCGGCGCTCGGGCGGGCCTCCCCCGCGCCTGCCCAGGCGGGGGCGCGCGGGCGGGGGGGGCCGCTGCGTGGCCCTGGCCGCTCGGGCGAGGGCCCGAGGTGCGGGCAGCCCCCGAGGATGGCGTGGCAGCGTCGAGGGAGAGCTTCCCGGCTGCGGCAGGGGCTGTGTCTTTCGCCGTGCATCGGGCCTGTCCCTCTACAGGGGGAATCTCTTCGAAAGCAGTCAAGAAATAGTCTCGGGCCGATCTGTGGGGTCTTTTTGGACCACTGTTGTGTGCTTTGTGGCGTGCTTTCTGAATCTTTTCATTCTAAATCCGCCTGTAGGGGGACATGCCCGACCTGATTCGAGCCGTGCGCCACACGGCGGGGCGGCACTGCTGTGAAAGGCAAGTGCCAGTGGTTGAGACTAGGTGTTGGGCAGTTTGTGGTCTGTTCCTGTCTCCTCTGGCTCCCGGCTCTCTCTCCGCTTTCGTTCCTCTCCCTCCGCATTTCCGATACTTTGGCAAATCAGGCTTTGTGTGCCAGTGATGGGCTGGAGGGCCTTTGCCGGTGCCGGCGTCGGAACATAGGTGGCGGCCTCCTGCAAGCTGGATGCCTGATCTCCATTGGTTCGAATCCTGTCCAGGGAAAAAATAGTTTGTGGTTTGTTCCTGCATTCTGTTTGGGAAGTTATGCTTTCTCTCGTATGCTGCGCGTTGTGTGGACCAGAAGCCAGAACGGCAAGCACAAGTTCTCACGCTTTCTTGGTGAGGGGCCGGGCCCGGGGTTTTCTTCATGTGGTGGGGCCTTTGGCGCTAGACCGGAGCGGGGGGGGCGAGCACGTGGAGGAGAATTTGGGCACGTAGATATACGTGCGCGGAGAGGGGTTGTATCCAACCATGCGACTCGGCTCACATGCGTTCGGTAAGTATTTTCAGGTGTTTTCGGTGCCACGGGGGTCACAAGTGGGGCATCCAACATGCGGGCGTCGCATTCTTTACGGGAGCAACTGCGTGTGCGGAGGGGGTTCTCCAACATGTGTCTGGCGCATGCGTGTTTGGCACGTGGTTTCATTGGTATTCGGCGTCGAAGTGGTTACAACTGGGGCGTCCAACATGTGGGCGTCGGATTCTTCACGCGTGAAAGTACGTGTGCGGAGGGAGGGGGGTATCCAACGTGAGTCTGGCGCGTGCGCACTGTTTATGTGTTTTCGTGAGTTTTCGGCGCCACTGGGGCCACAAGTGGGCATCCAACATGTGAGCGTCGTATTCTTCACGCGTACACGTACTTGTGTGCGGAGGGTCGGAAATTCACCATGGGTCTGGCGCATGCGCATGCTGCGCTCGTTTTCTACTTTTTCTGGCGCCGCTGGGGCCAGAAGTGGGGCATCCATCATGTGCTTCTCAGAGTCTGCACGCGTGCACCTGCGTGTGCGGGGTGGTGGTGGAGTATTCATCGTGCGTCTGGCGCGTGCGCATGTGCTTTGTGCCTTCGCATGACATCGGCGCCACAAGGGGGCCACAAGCGGAGCATCCATTATGTGGGCGCCGGATCCGCGGAGGAGGCGAGTATCCAACGTGCGCTTGACGCATGTATTGTCGGCGCCAAGGAGGCAACAGGTGGGCATCCAATATGTGGGCGTCGGATTTTTCACGCGTGAACATACGTGCGCGGAGGTGTGGATATTTAGCATGCGTTTGGTGCATGCGCGTGTGGCACGTGATTTCACGTGTGCAAGCGAGAAGGGGGGCATCCAGCATGTGGTAGCCGAATTCTTCACGAGAACATGTGCGCGGAGAGAAGGTATCCAACGTGTCTCTGGCGCGTGCGCGTTTGGCACGTGTTTTCAGGTGTGCGGGCGCGAAGGGGGCATCCAACATGTACTCGTCGAATTCTTCACACGCAAAAATACGTTGGAGAAGGGGGGGTATTCAACATGCGCCTGGTGCGTGTGCGTTTGGAACATGGTTTCATGCGTGCAGGCCCGAAGGGGGGGCATCCAGCATGTGGCCGGGGAGCTCTTCACACGTAAATGCACGTGTGCAGAGGGGGGGTGGCACTCAACATGCGTCCAGCCCGTGTGCGTGTGGCATGTGTGTTTCACGTGGGCAGGCGCCCAAGGGGGCATCCAACATGCGGAACAAGAGAAGAAGGAATATGAGGAGGAGAATGCGGAGGCGGAGGCGGAGGCGGAGGAGGAGGAGGAGAAGGAGGAGGAGGAGGAGGACGAGAAGGAGGAGGAGGGAGAGGAGGAGTAGGAGGAGGAGAAGGAGAAGGATGAAGAGAAGGATGATGATGGTGATGTTGTTGATGTTGTTGGTGATGTTGTTGTTGTTGTTGTTGTTGCTATTGTTGTAGTTGTTGATGTTGTGATCGTTGTTGATGTTATTGTTGTTCTTGCTGGTGTTGTTGTTGCTGCCGTTGTTGTCGTCATCGTTATCGTTGTTGTCGTTGTGGATGATTGTGTTAAAAATGACGACGACGATGATGATGATGCTGCTGATGATGATGATGATGATGATGATGCTGACCATGATGATGAAAAGGAGGATACTGGTGATTCTGTTCTTGATGATGATGGTGAGGATGAGGATGCTGCTCCCGCTGACGCTGACAATGATGGTGATGAGGATGATGATGATGCTGCTGCTGATTCTGACGATTATGATGCTCATAATGATGATGATGATGATGCTCATGATGATAATGATGCTGATGATGCTGCTGCTGATGATGATGCTGATGATCATGATCATGATGATGATGGTGATGATGACGATGATGATGATGATGATGATGATGATGATGTTGATGATGATGATGATGATGATGATGATGATGATGATGATGATGATGATGATGATAATGATGATGATCATGATTTTGATGAAGGGGACGCGGAGGAGGAGGATGAGGAGGAGGAGGATCAAACCCAGGATGCACCAGGACTCCCCAGGGGGAGGCGAACGACACGGATCACGATAGAGCACGCAGTATAGCATATTGTATAATAAAACGTCCAGATGTGGCACACTATCACATAGGACACATGTAGGAACATGGCTTGACTTAAATTCCTTACACTCATGTCGTCTGTTAAGAAACTCACTTTTTTGAGCTGGGTCTCAGACTTTTTTAAAATAAAATAGGAAATTCAAAAAAGCTGGGACCAATTTCTTAAGCTGGGACCGATTCCTTACGTGCTGGAGGGGGGTTGTGCTGAGGGGTTGTGCTGGGGGGTGGTGCTGAGGATCGTGCTGACGGGGCGGCGCTGGAGAGGGTTGTGCTGGAGGGTCGTGCTGGAGAGGGTTGTGCTAGAAGGCGAACTCGAAAAAACCATCAGCACAAACCCCTCAGCACAACCCCTCAGCACAACCCTCCAGCACAACCCTCCAGCACAACCCTACAAGCCTCCAGCACGACTCTCCAGCACAACCCCAGCACAACCCTCCAGCACAACCCTCCAGCACAAACCTCCAGCACAACCCTCAGCACAACCCTCCAGCACAACCCTCCAGCACAACCCTCAGCACAACCCTCAGCACAACCCTCCAGCACAACCCTCCAGCACAACCCTCCAGCACAACCCTCCAGCACAACCCTCCAGCACAACCCTCCAGCACAACCCTCCAGCACAACCCTCCAGCACAACCCCTCAGCACAACCCTCAGCACAACCCCCCAGCACAACTCTCCAGCACAACCCTCCAGCACAACCCTCCAGCACAACTCTCAGCAACAAACCCTCAGCACAACTCAAGCAACAACCTTCCACCACAACCTCCAGCCACAACCTCCAGCACAATACCCTCAGCACAACACTCCAGCACAACCCTCCAGCCAAACCGCACAACCTTCAGCACAAACTCCAGCACAAGCCTCCCGCACAGCCTCCAGCACAACCCTCCAGCACAACCCTCCAGCACAACCCTCCAGCACAACCCTTCCAGCACAACCCTCAGCACAATCCTCCAGCACAACCTCAGCACAACCCTCAGCAAAACCCTCAGCACAACTCTCATCACAATCCTCCACCTCAGCACAAACCCTCCAGACCTCCAGCAAAACCTCCGGCACAACCTCAGCACACCCTCCAGCACAACCTCCAGCACAACCTCCAGCACAACCTACATCACAACCTCCAGCACAACCTCCAGCACACCCTCCAGCACAACCTCCAGCACAACCTCCAGCACAACCTCCAGCACAACCTCCAGCACAACCTCCAGCGCAACCTCCAGCGCATCCTCCAGCACAACCTCCAGCACAACCTCCAGCACGACCTCCAGCACAACCTCCAGCCCAAACCCCCCAGCACAGGCATCCAGCACAACCTCCAGCAAAAAAAAAAAACAAAAAAAAAAACTCCAGCACAACCCTTCCAGCACAACCTCCAGCACAAAACCCCTCCAGGAACAACTCCAGCACAACGGTCTCCAGCACACCCTCAGCACAACCCCCAGACAACCCTCCAGCACAACCCTCCAGCACAACCCTCCAGCACAACCCTCCAGCACAACCCCCTCCAGCACAACCCTCCAGCACAACCCTCCAGCACAACCCTCCAGCACAACCCTCCAGCACAACCCTCCAGCAGCAACCCTCCAGCACAAACCCTCCAGCACAACCCTCCAGCACAACCCTCCAGCACAACCCTCCAGCACAACCCTCCAGCACAACCCTCCAGCACAACCCTCCAGCACAACCCTCCAGCACAACCCTCCAGCACAACCCTGCAGCACAACCCCTCAGCACAAACCCTCCAGCACAACCCTCCAGCACAACCCTTCCACCCCAGCAGCAACCCTCCAGCACACCCTGCAGCACACAACCCTCCAGCACAACCTCCAGCACAACCCTCCAGCACAACCCTCCAGCACAACCCTCCAGCAACCCTCCAGCACCCTCCAGCACAACCCTCCAGCACCCTCCAGCACAACCCTCCAGCACAACCCTCCAGCCCTCCAGCACAGCACAACCTCCAGCACAACCACAGCACCCTCCACAACCCTCCAGCACAAACCCTCAGCAACCCTCCAGCAACCCTCCAACCCTCCAGCACAACCCTCCAGCACAACCCTCCAGCACAACCCTCAGCACAACCCTCCAGCACAACCCTCCATCACAACCCTCCAGCACAACCCTCCAGCACAACCCCGCAGTCAAGCACAACCCTCCAGCACAACCCTCGAGCACGACCGCTCAAGCACAACCCTCCAGCACAACCCCTCAGCACAACCCCTCAGCACCACCTCACAGCACTACCTCTCAGCACAATCCCTCAGCACAACCCTTCAGCACATACCCCCAGCACAACCCCTCAGCACAATCCCTCGGCACAGCCCCCGAGCACAACCCCTCAACACAACCCCTCATCACTATCCCGCAGCACCCGATTCGTTAAGAAACACCCGATTCGTGGTTCCGGTGGTCGCGTGGCAACACCCGATTTGTTAAGAAACACCCGTTTGGCTGTGCCGGTGGTCGCGTGGCAACGCCCGATTCGTTAAGAAATTCGGCGGCGAAAGCTGGGTCTCGCACCGGGTTTAAGAAATTCACCGAAGTTGGGTCTCAATTTCTTAACAAATAATTTCTTAGCGCAAGTTATGAGTCGTGGATTCCTAAAGTTTTGCTTTGCCCCGGAGGGCTCGAGATGGCCTGCGGGCCGCCCCAGACAGCGTCGCAGGAGTCTACACAGATGAGCCCGACATCGCAATAGGGTTCAGAATCCTCCAATGGCGTTCACCATCCGGCTCCACACTGACCCAAAATGGCTCCAAGACGGGCCAAACACGGCCCCCAGACCCTGATAGCTGGAAGATCCCCTAAAACTGCCCCAGGATCGCCCCCGACGATCCCAGTACCTCCTCCCCTGAGGGCTCCAAGAAACCCCATGAGGCCCCTAAGTGGCCACCCAAAGACAAAAAACACGCCGAAGAGGCCACGAAAAGCTCCACGAAGGCATCGTGACATGCACTCAGCGTGATATGACATTGTCCTATCGGACGTTTTGGCGTATCAGTAAGCGAAGGTGAATCGAATTCTTGTGGCAGAGGAGCTGGAAGACGATAAAGAAGATGAGGACGGTGAGCAGTGGGGCAATGCCGAAGATGGAAATCATTGGAAGGGGGAGAGAAGGAGAAAAGGCACGAAGAGTTGGAGGTGGAGGCGGAGTAGAGCGAGCAAGAGGAGGATGAATCAGAGAAGGAGGAAGAGGAGGAGGAGGAGGAGGCAAGATGAGTAGAAGTAGGAGGATGATGATAATACTGATGGTAAGGACGACGACGACGATGATGATGATGATGATGATTATGATGATTACGTTGATGATGTCGATGAAGATGCTGCTGATGATACTTATGCTGACGATGATGATCAATAATGATGATGTTGATGCTTATGATGTTGTTGTTATGGTTGTTGTTGATGCTGCTGCTGACGATACTGATGCTGATGCTGATGATACCAAGGATGACGATGATGATGCTGATGATGATAATGATGTGATTCTGATGGTGATGATGACGATGATGATGATCATCATCATGCTGCTGCTGCTGATGATGACGATTATGATGATGATGCTGCTGATGCCGCTGATAATGCTGACGATGTTAATGCTGATGATGATGATTCTGCTGCTGCTTCTGATGATGATGACGACGATGATGCTATTGCTGATGATGATGCTGATTCTGATGATGCTGACGATTATTGCGATGATGCTGATGCTGATGCTGCTGATGATGATGATGCTGATGAAGATTGATGATGATTCTGCTGCTGCTGCTTCTGATGATGACGACGATGATAAGGACGATGATGATGCTGATTCTGACGATGCTGACGATTATGATGTTGATGCTGATGCTGATGCTGCTGATGATGATGATGCTGATCAAGATGAATATGATGCTGAATATGATGATGCTGGTGACGATGATGCTGATGATGATAATGATAATGATAATGATAATGATGATGCTGATGATGATGATGATGATGATGATGCTGATGATGATGACCATGATGACGATGATGCTGATTATGATGATGCTGATGGGGATGATGCTGCTGCTGGTGATGATGGTGATGCTGCTGATGATGATACTTATGACGATGATGACGATGATGATGATGACGATGATGCTGATGACGATTATGATGATGATGATGATGATGATGATGATGATGATAATGATGCTGATGAGGCTGACGATGATGATGATGATGATGATGATGATGATGATGATGATGATGATGATGATGATGATGATGATGATGATGATGACGATGATGATGGTGGTGGTGATGATGATTCTGCTGCTGCTGATCATGATCATGATGATGATGATGATGATGATGATGATGATGATGATGCTGATGCTGATGCTGATGCTGATGCTGATGCTGATGCTGCTGCTGCTGATGATGATGATGATGAGGAGGAGGAGGAGAGTAGGAGGAGGAGGAGGATGAGAAGGAGCAGGAGGAGGAGGAGGAGGAGGAGGGAGGAGGAGGAGGAGGAGGAGGGAGGAGGAGGAGGAGGAGGAGGAGGAGGAGGAGGAGGAGGAGGAGGAAGGGGAGTAAGAGAAGGAGGAGGATGAGGAGGAGGATGAGGAGGAGAAGGAGGAGGACGTGGAGGAGGAGGAGGAGGAGGAGGAGGAGGAGGAGGAGGCGGATACGGCAATCGCCAGCAAGGAACCGAAGCTGCCTGCTTCTCCAGTGAAGCTTGTGCCCACGAGCTAATTCGCCGTCCATCCTGGTTATGAGGGGTACCCGCGGGAGCGCGAAGAAGATCGCGAGTCGCTCTTTTCGGTCTGGGCCAGTGGGTTGTCCTTCTTTAGGGTGGGGGGGGCCGATGGCGCGAAGAAAATCGCGCTTCGCGCATCGCGCCGCGCGAAGTTGGGTGACCCAGATTTCCCTCAGCCTGGTCCGCCCTCGGTGGCTACTTCCCTGGGCGCCTACAAAAGTCTGCTGGACGTCGGTTTCTGAATGCCTCCGGGGGTCCATCCTGGATCAACCTCTTGACGGCCTCGGGGGCTCGCCCTGGGATTCTGGTGGCCGAACATGGCGGAAACGAGCACGTTCGCCAGCCTAGACCCCAAGCGGTGAGCTTTCGCACTCCGGTGGTGGAAGCCATGTGGCGGAAGCTTTGTGGTGTAGAATATGTGGTGGAAGCCATGTGGCGGAGGCTACTTGGTGTAAACTATGTGGCGGTAGCTGCATCGTGTAAGCTGTGCGGTGTGAGCAGCTGAAGTGAACACTTGGCCGTGTACGATGTGTGGTGGCGACTGGCGGCAACGGGCCATAACGTGGCGAATCCTCGACGGACCTACCCCGTCGGAAGCGGGCGGCAACGGGCAGCAACGGGTGGCAACGGGCCGGCAAGCGTGGCGATGCATCGACGCTGCCGCCCAAGCGGCAAGGGGCGGCCACGGGCCAGAACGTGGCGAGTCCTCGACGCACCCACACGAGCGGCAGCGGGCAGCGACGGGCGGCACCGGGCGGCAGCGGGCCAGAGCGTGGCGAAGCTTCGACGCACCCGCCCAATATCTTGGGGAGAGACCTCGCGCGGATCGCAAGCCTGGCGGCCCGGCCCCCCTTTGCGGGGGGCCCCGGCGGACTTCGCCGCCCTCTGCGTGTCGCACAAGGAGAGCGCGCGCCCCCCGCCTGCGCCTGGGCGGGCCGCCGCGCCCGCGGCGTGGCGCGCTTTCGGCGGGGGTGGCGGCGCAGGAGCAGAGAAGCGGGAGGCGAGGTGGGGCAGGCCAGGACCCTCTCGCGCCGTGCAGAAGTCACGACGGACGGTTTTTCGGGTTGTCGGCCCCTGGGGGGCCCCGACGTGCCCCGTGGCCATCACGCAAAACCGCTCTCGATGAAAAGCCGGTCTCGACTACACGTAAGAGTGACCCTTCGCCGGAGTGACCTTCGATGCGGGCTCACCGGGGTCCCTCCGATAGCTGAGCGCGACGCGACAATGGCTGCTTGCTTGCTTGGATTTGGCCGCTTCGCACCCCCTTCTTCCGCGCACTGACGGCCACTCTTGCCTAGGGTCACTCTTGCGTGTAACCGATGGTCCCAGGGAGTGGTTCGGCAGCAAATCATGGGAGCCTAGGGTACCCTCGTAATTCCATCTTTTGCGTCGACTCGCGTCGATTAGCGTCTGGGAGTCGATGAGAGACAGGGCCGTTTTAGCGTCGGTTGGCGTCGGTTAGCGTCGATGCAGCATCGATGAGCGTCGACTAGCGTCGATTGGCGTCGATTCGCAAAAGCCCACAAGATGGTATGGGAGGCTCACATGAAGTGCCATCGAGGAGTGGGCTGAGATGCATGGGAGGCTCCCAAGAGTTCGGAAACTGGAGCATTTACATTACCAGTGGCGGGTTGTTTTTTCAATCCCAAGACTTTTTGAGGGTCGGGGACGACGTCGGGGTGGCGCGGTGTATACTATTCCCCCGTTTTCCGAGGGAAACAGCGAAAAATGTATACACCAGGATCCCGTATACACCAGGATCCGCGTTCCTGTGCGAATCTCGGCGCAGGGTCGGAAAGAGCGTCGGTGTAGAGAGCTCGCTTCCCCAGGAGTTGCCACCGAAGAGTGTGCCGGGAGAGCTCTGCGGGTCGCGAAACGCTGTGCAGAGATCCTGCCGCGTCGGGGGTCCTGGGGCGAGGAGGCGGCGGCGCACGCGGGGCGCCTCTCCCGAGGCGAGAGGGCCTCGCCTCCGAAGGGGCGCGGGGCGTGGGCCGGAGGGGAGCGGAGAGGGGGGGCGAGATGGGGACCCAGCCGTGTTCGCGTCGCCAGGAATCAGGACGGGAGGTTTTTCGCCGTTTTCGGCCACGGGGGGGGCCCTCGCCAGGCCCCGGGGCCGTCAAGAAACGACTCGGGACGGAAGGCCGCCCTTGGGGAAAAAGGGTCGGAGCTTCCGGGGACGCCGTCCTGAGCAAAGTCAGGACGTCGCCTGTCTGGGGAGGGGTGCGGAGAAGCAGTGAGCAGTGGGAATTGGATTCGGCAGCGAGCGGGGGGTGGGGGAAGTGAGACCGGGGCGGACCTTTTCGGAAGGCTCGGAAGTCCCCCGGTCTCCCGAGAGGGTTTCGAAGCCTTCCCCGAGGGCACGGGCAACTTCTCAGAAGGCGTGAGGGCTTCTGAGAAGTCCCGCCGCCTTCTGAGAAGGCCTCTTCCTCCTCCTCCTCTTCCTTATCACGTCTTCTCCTCCTTCTCCTCCTCCTCCTCCTCCGCCCTCCTCCTCCTCCTCCTCCTCCTCCTCCTCCTCCTCCCTCCTCCTCCTCCTCCTCCTTCTCCTCCCCCTCCCCCCCGCTCGCCGCCGATGGATCCCGGAGTGGAGTGGGGGGGGGGGGAGGCGCGGGGGAGAGGGCGGGCGGAGGGCGGAGCGCGGAGGAATCGGCTGCGCAGTGGGCGGGCGGAGGGCGGAGGCATGGGGCACGGAGTGGAGCGGGGCAGGGTGGGGAGGCGCTGGGGAGAGCGCGCCAGGGGGCGTGAGGGCGAGGGCAGCAGTGCAGCGGTGGTTGTTCTGGGGTTGTCCGGGGGGCGCCCCGTGATCGTCTCTTGGTTCCCTTTCAGTTGTCCCGTGGCTGTCCCGTGGTTTTCTCTTGGCTGTCCTGTGGTTGTCTCGTGGTTCGCCCGTGCCTGTCCTGTGGTTGTCCCGTTGTCCTGTGGTTGTCGCGTGGTCGTCCCGTGGTCGCCCCCCAATCCACAGACGGAAAGGGGGCCGATCGATCGATAACCAACACGTGCATTGGTAGTGAGATCGGTGGATCGCGAGACCGATCGAACGTGCGACCGATCGGTGCATTGATGGTGAGGTTGATCTCTAGACAGATCGATGGATGTCCCGTGGTGGTCCCGTGGCCGTCCCGTGGCTGTCCCGTGGTTGTCCCGTGGTCGTCCCCTGGTTGTCCCGTGGTCGTTCCATGGTCGTCCCATGGTTGTCCCGTGGTTGCCGCGTAGTTGCCCGCGGTTGTCCCCTGGGTGTTCCGTGGTTGACCCGTCCGCAAACATATGTGTTGAGAATGAGACCAAGATTTCGACTGAGGGCAATCGATAGAGATAGTGAGATCGAGAGATAGAGAGATCGATCGATAATCTGGTAGTGGGATCGATTGACGGATAGTGTGAACCAATCGATGGCGTGGCCAAGACCGATGAATTGATATATCGGGGATCCGATCCGACGCCAATCGCAAACCGACATCTGCACCCCCAACCCTCTTATCGCCAGAAGAGTGGTCCTATAGGTTGGGGTCGGAATCGTGTTGGGAATAGCGCGCGCAGGAGTAGACGCCGTAGCTGGAGTGAAAGTCGGAGCGCGCTCCAGATCAGTGGTCTGCGGAGTAGTGCATGCAGGAGGAAGAGGAGCAATGGGGGATGGACAAACGCCCACCGCATTCTTCCGCTCCCCTTTTTCCTCAGGGTCGTCCTCTTCCCACGCGCACTTCTGCCCTGCTGTGCATCTCCCGATGCTGGCGAGGACAAGGCGGAGCGCTCGAAGGACCTTACCATGACGCTCACGGCGTGCTCTGGGAGGGGGGCCAGTAGAGAGCAGCGGGTGAGGAGGAGGAGGAGGAGGAGGAGGAGGAGGAGGAGGAGGAGGAGGAGGAGGAGGAGGAGGAGGAGGAGGAGGGAGGAGGAGGAGGGGGATGAGGAGGATGAGGAGGACCAGTGTAAGCCCACGACTCATCAATGATGTTGGAATGCACCCTCCCTCCAAGCTCCCTCTTCCTAGGCCCCTACCAGGGTTCATTTCCGTTGAGGGAGTTGCCCCGTCGGGGGGCAACCGCGTGCAAAATCTGGAAGCGTGCCAAAGCACCAGTCCCAGGACGTCCACGCCACGAGTTAACTTGACTGTTAGGTTTTGGCGGTCTTGAATCGTGTCAGAACACCATTCCTGGGTTTTCAACACCGCGAATCAACGTATCTGTTGCGCCCTGGCAATCTTGAGCCGTTCCGAAACACCATGTCTGATACGTTCGTTAACCATGAGAAACTCTTGCAACTGTTTCAAGCGAGTGTGCGCGTCGCTGAGGCGAGAGCCGCATTTTGACAAGGAGCCGCCCTCAATCCGTGAAGCTCTTGCAGTTTTTTACACCCAATGTGCCCGGCGCTTTAGCGAGAGCCACATTTTGAAAACGACCCGCCCTGAATTGTGAAACTCTTTCAATTTTTACAGAACGAATGTGCGCGGCGCTGAGGCGAGCGCCACATTTTGAAAGCGACCTGCCCGCAGCCCGTGAAGCTCGTGCATATTATTCAAACGAATGTGTGCGGCGCTACGACGAGAGCCTCATTTTGAAAACGACCCGCCCTCACTCCGTGAGGCTCTTGCACATTCAAAAAAACGAATGCGCGCGGCGCTAAGGCGAGATCAACATGTTGAAAATGTCCCGCCTTCCGCCCTTAATCCATACATCCCTTGTACATCTTTAATACGAATGTGCGCGGCGCTAAGGCGAGAGCCACATTTTGGAAGCGACACGCTCTCCATCTGGTAACCTATTGCCGATTCTCAAGCTTCAGGATCATATATTGTGACGAAGTCTCAGGCGAAACGCCCTGCCCGCCCTTTCGACCGGCCTCGGGGTGCGACAGGGAGGAGTTATTTACAAGGAAAAGGAATGGAGGAGGCAGCTGCTCTCTTTTGGCCACGTGGCAGGACGATGCGGAGGAGGTGGAGTGAGGAGGAGCCTTGCAATTCAAGGGGGGCTTGAAAGGGGCCCAGTTCGGGGGGCTGAACAAAGGATCTGGGGTGCCTTGAAAGGGCGGCCCTCGAGTTAGCCACACGCAGCTTTGGGGGATGTCTTTGAAAGGGTTCTGGGAAGTACCTTGAAAGAGCCCTTCGGGGCCACGCCACAACAAAGGTTGTGGGGGTGCCTCGACAGGGCTCTGGGGGAATTCATGGGGGCTTGCACTGTTTGTTTTTGGCGTATTGAGATTTGGGATTCCCTTGCCATGAACGATGCCAGGACGCGAAGTCGCATGCTCTATCACTGTGTTCTGTAGAGCTGAATGGCATGACACAGGAACTACGCAGTCGAGCGAACAGCGCCTGATATGTTGGGAGATTTGTTCGTGAAGCGGGACAACAGCCGAGTTCCCATGCTTCAGCGCTTTTTAATTCTCAAGGCCTCCTCCCGAAACTGGGGGAAGTGACGGCGGGGCCCCGAGAGTGGTCCACGCCGCTCCGCTCAGGGCCTTCGGGGTCGGCGACATGCCAGGGGTGTTTGGCGGCAGGCGCACGGGAGAAGCGCGGGCCTAGAGTCGGAGCGGCAAGGCGATTCGTTCGCTTGCGCCGCACCGCCGAGCCCCTGGGAGCCCTGGAGGCCTCTCTTCTTGGGAGCGTTGTCGTCGAAGCGTCTTGGCGCCGTGCGCTCATCGGGGGAATTTCCTAGCAAAAGGGGTTTTTTAGAGCCGTTCTCCGGCCCTCCTGGGGCTCTCTGGAGGCCTCTCCTGGGGGCCTCCTGGGGGCCTCTTTGGGACTTTCTCGGGGGCACGTCGGTGGTCTTGGGGCCCTCTCGTGGGGAGGGCTCCTGGGGGGACCCTGCGAGGTCCCCCTCTTGGGCTCTTCCTGCGGGCTCTCGTGGGGTCCTCTTGGGTCATCCTGGGCCCCTCTTGGGCCGTCTCGGGGCCCTCTTGGGGCCCTCGTGGTCGGTCCTGGGCTGGTCTGAGGAGCCTCCTGGGCCGTTTGGGGTTGCAGAAGCCCGAAGCCACAAGAGAGTTCGAGCATCCTTCAGGAACGTGAGGACAATCTGTGTTGCTTGCCTCTGGAGGCCCTCTTCAGGATTCTCTTGAGGCTCTCTTGAGGCGTCTTGGGGGCTTCTCGGGCCGTGTTGGGGCCATATTGGGCCGTCTTGGGGCTGCCTTCGGTCGTCTCGGAGGGGATCGTCCTTTGTGATTTGCGCTGCTGGGAGCCTTTCTGGGGCAGACGAGTCTGCAGGAGCAGCTGACACCGTTGACTGGGACTCCCTCCTTCTCTAAGCCAGACACCAACGACCCTGGCCAGGCCACTCCTGGGCCCAGGACGGGTGTGTGTGTGTGTGTGTGTGTGTGTGTGTGGGTGTGCCCTCCTCGCCAACCCAAGACCCTCTCCTCCGAGTTACACTTGGACCGAGGTGTGTGATCGAGGTCGGTTCGGGGAGGATGCCCTACTGTTCTTCGTGCTGGTTGGACGCTCTCGTGCATCCTGGGGAGCAGGATGTCCAGGGGCTCCTGCTCTCGAAGGCCGCTCTTCTGGCACAGGTCCGACCGTGCCTTTCCTCCGTGGCGTCGGCCCCGGGGGGCTCTCTCGACCACCTCCCCGGGGCCTGCTCTTCCTCCTGAGCCTTTTTTTTTTTTGGTTGTTTCCTTTCCCCCTTTTTTTCTTAAAAAAACAAAAATATTTATATATGTATGTATGTCTGTCTGTCTGTCTGTCTGTATGCATGTATGTATGTATGTATGTATGTATGTATGTATGTATGTATGTATGTATGTATGTATGTATGTATGTATGTATGTATGTATGTATGTATATGTATATATATATATATATATATATGTATACATTTTTTTGTGTTTCTAATGTTTTTCTTTTTCGGCGGCCCCGGGGCTGGGAATCGGCCCCCACGGGTCGCCGACTGCGGAGCACCGGTCCTCGCGCTGCCGGACCTTCCAGGGCAGGGCGCGTGCGCCCGGATCGTGGGCCCGGGAGCGGCCCGGGCGGACTCGGCGCAGGCGCGCCCCAGGAGCCCGCGACGTCGCGGCGCGTGCGCGGGGCGGGGTCCCCCGGGGCCCGCTACCCGCCGGGTCATCCCGAGCCGTCTTCTGGCGGTCCTGCGGGCTGGTGAGGGCCCCGAGGGTGCGACGAGCTCGTTGCCTGAGGCTCCCCTCCCCCTGTCTCTCTCTCTCTCTCTCACTCCTCCTCCTGCTCCTGCTGCTGCTGCTCCTCCTCCTCCTCTTCCTCCTATGCCTCCTCCTACTCCTCCTCCTCCTGCTCCTCCTCCATTCCATCTCCTCCTCTCCTCCTCCTCCTCCTCCTCCTCCTCCTCCTCGTCCTCCTCCCCCATTCCTTCTCCTTTTAGGTAACTTTTCCTCGTCGCACCCCGAGGCCAGTTTTTAAAGCGGGCCGGGCGTTTCGCCTGAGACTTCCTCGCCATTTACGATTCTGAAGCTTGAGAAGTGAACCGTTTCACGAATGGAGGCCGGGTGGTTTCCAAAATGTGGCTCTCGCCTTAGCGCCGCGCGCATCTGTCTTCAACATTGCAAGAGTTTCACGGATTAAAGGCGGGTGGTTTTCAAAGTATGGCTCTCGCCTTACCGCCGCGCACATTTGTTCAACAGTTGCAAGAGTTTCACGGATTGAGGGCGGGTGGTTTTCAAAATGTGACCGCCGCGCACATTTGATTTCAAACTTTGCAAGAGTTTCACGGAATGAGGGCGGGTGGTTATCAACATTTGGCTCTCGCCTTAGCGCCGCGCACATTCGTTTTGAAACTTTGCAAGACTTTCACGGATTGAGGGCGGGTGGTTTTCAAAATATGTGGATCTCGCCTTAGCGCCGCGCGCATTCGTTATCAACATTTGCAAGAACTTCACGGCTTCCCATGACCAACGTACCAGAATCGGTGTTCGGAATGATTCAGCACTATGCGGGTGCAACAGTTATGGTGATTCGCGGTGTTGAAATCAAAAAAAAGCCGTCATGGCATTGTTCCGGATCGTCAACGCGCAGCAGTCAAGTTGATACGTGGCGTTGAAATCCCGAGAACAATGTTTTGGCATGCTTCAGGATCTTCAAACGGTTGCCTTCCAACGAGGCAGTTCCATCAATGGTAATGAACCGTTGTAGGGTCCTGTGAAGAGGGAGCTTGGAGGGAGGGTTAATTCCAGCATCGTTGATGACTCTTGGGTTCACACTGGTCCTCCTCCTCCTCCTCCTCTTCCTCCTCCTCCTCCTCCTCCTCCTCCTCCTCCTCCTCCTCCTCCTCCTCCTCCTCCTCTCTCTCCGCCGCCTGGCACCTTTCTCGATGCGGGGCTGCCTCCGGGGCTGGGAGGCGCTGTAGGGAAGCGGCTGCGTGCAGCTCCCCCGCCGTGCTCTCCTTTCGTGTACCGATGGGGGTCCGGGCAGAGCCGAGGCGCTCCAGAGAGAGCCCCGGCTTCGGGGAGCGGGAGGAGTTGGCACCTCTTCCTCAGTGGAAGGCGACGGACGGGCAGCGGAAGCCGGCGGAAGTAAGACCCGGCCACGCGCACAATGGAGTAGGGGGGAGGGAGGAAGGCTTCTTCGAAGGAGGCTGCTTCTTAGAAGGCGCTGGCCTTATATCTGTAGACAAGTTCGGCGGAAGTTCGGCGGAAGTTGCGTAAGGAAAAATCGACCCTCCAGAGACGCACGCTCTTTTGGATCCAGGGTTTTTGGGACGAGCCTTAAGTCGGGCCTGTCCCTCTACAGGAGGAAAATTCAAAAATAGTTAAAACATAGTCTGGGGACGATTTTTTAGGCGTTTCTTGATTATGTTGGGGTATTTTTCGACTATTGTTTTATTTTTCGTCCAAAATCCTTCTGTAGGGGGACACGCCCGACTTAAGACGAACCAGCGGGCGCCCTCCCGCACGAGGCGGACAGCACCCACATCTGCTACGCGTGCCTGAACCTGGAGCACTACCCCTGCGAGGACACCGTGCTGCCCGCGCAGCTGCCGCTGCAGACGCAGCACGGCGACAGCGCCAGCGCCCTTGTGGCGCTCGATCCCTCGGGGGTGGGCAGACCTCCTACCCTGACACGTCGATTAAGGAATTGGCCGTTTTCGGTTCGCGAGAGGGCGTCGCGGCCGTCCTTTTTGCGGGTCCAGGTCCGTTGGCCTCGGTCCCAGGCCGCTGTCGCTAAGGGGAGGTTTACTAAATGGAGGTTTGTCCAGCGCCGAATCCCCCTGGCCGGTAGCAGCCAGCTACCCAGACCTCGAAGAAGAATAACGCCACCAGCACGAGCTTTCGGAGCTCCGCGCGGACCCCTGGAAGCTCGTGTTTTATGATGGCTTCCACTTCTCCAGAAGAGAAGCACGCCAGAAGGTTTTTTGGGGCGATTTTCGGCCTCGGGGGTCCTTTGCCGTGCCCTGCGCCGTCAATAAGAACACGCTTAGGGCGAGAAGCTGGTCCCCCCGAATGGGTCGAGGCCTCTGGTGGCCCAAGGCTGGAGAACCCTGATTCTGACACGGCAGGTTCGCGCCACACATCGCCGCGGCGGCGACCCCAGTGAGTCCGTGTTCAAGGTAAAGCGCCGCCAGTGGCCCAGAAGACGCCGATATCGAACGATCTGCGCTACAGTCAACCCGCACAGTAAGGATGGGCAACCTTCCCAGTGGTACCTTTGCGTCCTTGCCTCCTCGGTCCATCCTTGGCCACTTTCGCTGGCCGCGCCCCGATCGAAAAGCTTCGAAATGGGCGTCCAGGGCCCTTGCTTCCTTATCGCCCACCCTTACCATACGGGTTGACTGTATCGGACAGCCGCGATCCTGCAGGGTTGAGCGATCCACGCGGCGTAAGAAGCCAGCGCCCACGTTCACGCGGCGTGAGCCTGCCGTACACACCCCGAAGGGAACGGGTCCTGGACCCCGTGTCGTTCCCCTACGGATCGTTTCCCTCATCATGAGTAGCTCCCTTCGAAAAAGAAGACACGCCATAAGCATAAATTTTTGACGCTCCGCGTGGATCTCTTGGATCAGCGCTGGGGGCCCCCCTGGCGGAGCCTCCCGCGCCGCCCCTGGCGCGCTCGGGGTCCTCCGCGCGGAGCGCCAACAGCTTATGTTTAGGGCGTTTTCTCTTTTTTCTACCCCTGGACATAAACATCTTGTCTGAATGCGTTGTGTAGGTCTTCTTGGAGGCGAGTCTGTGGTTGGGCGGACCTGGAAATCGGCCGGGCGCCGTGGCCTCCCCCGTCGTGGCCTCCGGTGGCCTCCCGTTGCCTCCCGTGGCCTCCCGTGGCGTGGCCTCCCGCGGCCTCTCGTGGCCTCCCGTGGCCTCCCGTGGCCTCCCGTGGCCTCCGGTGGCTTTCTGCGGCCTCCGTGGCCTCCCGTGGCTTCGCTTCCCGTGGCCGCCACGTGGCCTCCCGTTGTGCTGCCCCCTCCCTCCTCCTCCTCCTCCTCCTCCTCCTCCTCCTCCTCCTCCTCCTCCTCCTCCTCCTCCTCCTCCTCCTCCTCCTCCTCCTCCTCCTCCCCCATCGTTGCCTCCCTCGTGAAGCCGCGTGGAGCTGTTCAGGCTCTTGTGCCGCCAGGGCGTCACGCTTTGACGGCCCCGTGGCCCGGGAGGGCCCTCGGCGTGAACGGCGAGGGGCGGAACACCTCAGGGCCTCTCTTGTTCGGGGCCCCTTGTCCTCATGGCTCGAGTCGGGGATCGGCTGCAGAACTGATTTACCCCAAAGTTGGTCTTTCCGCCGAATCTGCGGAAAATGCATCGAATGCTCCGTAATTCTAGCGAGCGTTCTATATGTAATTTCAGGTGGATTCGGCGGACAAATCCATTTTGGGGTGAATCAATGATGTAGTCGATCCCCTATTCGAATGGTGGTGAATGGCCATCAGTACATTGGCCAGGCTCGGTCCCACGGTCGGCCTCCGTCGGCCTTCGCGAGAGCTGGGCCGACCGGGGTACCCCCATGGGGGAGCAGCGCAGCACGCAGCGCTCTCCGGTTAGAGCTCCAGGCTGCTGGACGTCGGCCTGCGGCCTCTCTGGTCCAGGGCGGGCAGCGGAGGCGCCAGGCGATCGACCAGACGCAGAAGTGACCTTGCGCCGGACTGACCTCCTGTGCGTGCCCAATGGGGTCTCCCGATTGCTGAACGCGAAGCTTCCGAGGCGGCAGCAGCGGCTTGCGCGCCAGAGTCTGGCCCCCCCGCGCCCCCCCCCCCCGTCAGGTCGCTCGCCAATGGTCGCTCTTGCCCAGGGTCATTCTTACGTGTACTGTGGAGGCGTTTGTGAAGCAATAGTTCCAGGAGGCGCCAGACCCTGGAGGATTCCTTATCTGATGAGGGCGGCGGTGATATCCATGGCCAAGCCTCGATGAGAGTTCCACCGGCCTCCAGACCCTGGATCCCTTATCTGAGGGTTCGTTATCCAATGCCCCCACCGTATGTCCAGGGCTCGCATGTCCAGGGCTGCCGCTGCGGCTGCCATGCGTGCGTAGCGCAGTATTGCATGAATTCGTACACACGGGCCGTTGCCCCCGAAGAGAGAACTACTCACTGCCTGGATCTCCCCATATGTGCATCTCATGTTTTATGTCATGCCATAGTGAGCGTCTGAGCGTTTGACTATAATAGCGCGTCCACATGGGCGACAGGGCCGACGAAGACGAGTGAATCCAAATGCGAGTGTGTGAGTATGAGTCAGAGTGAGCTTTGAGCATGATTGAATATGAGCCTCCCACTCATTCCCCCTCCTCAGCTGCCAGGCCGTGCCCTCCACAACCTGTGGTAATGTGCATATGTTTTAGGATAGTTGGCAGTGGGATCTGTAAAGCGAGCGTTTAGCCACACAAGGCCATAAGTGCATATCATGTTGTAGGATAGTGCCACGGCGAGCATTTGTCCATGATAGTTGTTTGCTCCACGAGCGCGTCCATGATAGTTGTTTGCTTCTGATGGGCCCGACCCAAGGAAGCAGCACGCCTCGACTCCTTCCTCCGTGCGTCCCAGAGGGTACGTGCCGGAGCACGACCCAAGGGAGCAGCACGGGTCGACTCCTTCCTCCGTGCGTCCCAGAGGGTACGTGCTGGAGCACGACCCAAGGGACCAGCACGGGTCGACTCCTTCCTCCGTGCGTCTCAGAGGGTACGTGCCGGAGCACGACCCTAGGGAGCAGAACGCCTCGACTCCTTCCTCCGTGCGTCCCAGAGGTACGTGCCGGAGCACGACCCAAGGGACCAGCACGCCTCGACTCCTTCCTCCGTGCGTCCCAGAGGGTACGTGCCGGAGCACGACCCAAGGGAGCAGCACGCCTCATCTCCTTCCTCGCAGCATGAAAACGAGCAAACCGCTTGAGACATCCCCGCAAAATGGCCGCGAACAGGCCCGTGAAAGCACCCCTGGCGGCTCCTTCTAGGGGTGCTGAAACCAGCGCCCCGCCTGCGACATCCTCATCATCTGCTCTGAAAGCGAAGAATGTTGGGCATGAAAACGGACCGCTTGAGACATCCCCACAAACTGGCCGCGAACGGGCCCGTGAAAACACCCTTGGCGGCTCCCCTTAGGGGTGCTGGAACCAGCGCCCCGCCTGAAACATCCTCAGAACCTGCTTTGAAAGCAAAGGATGTTGGGCATGAAAACAAGCAAACCGCTTGAGACATCCCCACAAACTGGCCGCGAACGGGCCCGTGAAAACACCCCCCGGCGGCTCTTTTTAGGGGTGCTGAAACCAGCGCCCCGCCTGAGACATCCTCAACATCTGCTTTGAAAGCCAAGGATGTTGGTCATGAAAACAAGCAGCCGCCTGAGACATCCCCACAAATTGGCCGCGAACGGGCCCGTGAAAACACCCCTGGCGGCTCCTTTTAGGGGTGCTGAAACCAGCGCCCCGCCTGAAACATCTTCAACACTTGCTCTGAAAGTAAAGGATGTTGGGCATGAAAACAAGCAAACCGCTTGAGAGATCCCCACAAACTGGCCGCGAACGGGCCCGTGAAAGCACCCTTGGCGGCTCCTTCTAGGGGTGCTGAAACCAGCGCCCCGCCTGCGACATCCTCATCATCTGCTCTGAAAGCGAAGAATGTTGGGCATGAGAACGGACCGCTTCAGACATCCCCACAAACTGGCCGCGAACGGGCCCGTGAAAACACCCCTGGCGGCTCCCTTTAGGGGTGCTGGAACCAGCGCCCCGCCTGAGACATCTTCAGAATCTGCTGTGAAAACCAAGGATGTTGGGCATGAGAACGAACAGACCGCCTGAGACATCCCCACGAACTGGCTGCGAACGGGCCCGTGAAAACACTCTTGGCGGCTCCCTTTGGGGGTGTGGAACCAGCGCCCCGCCTGAGACATCATCAGAAGTTGTTCTGAAAACAAAGGATGTTGGGCATGAAAACGAACAAACCGCTTCAAACATTCCCACAAACTGGCCGCGAACGGGCCCGTGAGAACACCCCTAGCGGCTCCCCTTGTGAGTCTGAGTATGACTAGGTCTGAGTATGAGTAGGTCTCGGTTCGTGCGTTGAGTAACGCAGACGATGAAAACAAATCTGAGTATGACTAGGTCAGAGTATGAGTAAGTCTGTGTATGAGCAGGTATGGGAACGAGTTTGGGTATGAGTAAGTCTGGGTATGAAGGAGTCCCATCATGAGTAAGTCTGAGCATGAGTAGGCCTGCATGTTTTGTGTTGAGAAAGTCAGACCATGAGAAGGTATGAGTATGAGTAGGTCTGAGTATGAGTAAGTCTGTATATGAGTAGGTGTGTTCTGTCTGGAGTCGGCGGCGTCCGAGCAATAACAAGAACCCCGTCTTAGCATATGGGGAAAAATGCCCCCACGGTAGCCGAGGCGACGAGCGGGAAACCGCACGAGCGCGAGGCTTCCTCGAGCCGGCGCTGGCCCGCCTTCCCCCCAGGGGCCTCTGGGGTGCCTCCTGGAGAGGGCCGCGGGAGTCCTGCAGGGGCGCGCGCCCCAGGGTCGTGCGGCGGTCGTCGGTCCAGCAGCGGCCCACACCCCTGGCGCGAAGAGGCATGCGTCTGAAGGGGAAAAAACACAGACACAATTGATCGTCGATCCCCCAGAAAATGGGGGTGGGGAAGACGAAAACCCAGAGAATATGGGGGGTCCTGTTCTTTGTGTCTATTTATTTGTGTGTCCCAGGGCCCCTTTAATGTGGACGAGGGTGCACCGCCGACCCAGGAACTCCTCGCGGACCGCCGAGAGTGCCCCTGAGATCCGGGCGGCGCAATCTTTCGATCCGGGCGTTGTCGCTCCATGTCGGCCCCAGGGCCCTAACAGATCGATGCGGCTCGGAAAATGACGCAGAAAGCTGGGGTTCCGAGGGTCTGGTCGTGATTTGTGCAGGGTCGCATTTTTTTTGCAACGTCGGATCTCAGGGGTATGCTGATGGTTTCTGTTTCTGTTGCTGTTCCTCCAGCCAAGGTCGTCACCTTGGCGTACGCCAACGTGCTGTTTGCGAGGCGCCTGGTTGGTTCCTGCTTATTCTTGGAGCTTGCTGATCTGCAGCGCCCTTCTGGTTTGTGCTCAGCGCATGTGTGTTTCGTGATCTTCGGGCCTCCAGCTTCGAACCTCAATCTCTTCAGGGGCGCCGACACGGGGGGGGGGGCGTGGCCCAGGGGGAAGAAGCATCGACGCCCATCTGCCCCGGACATCGCCCATCGGGGCCTGGGTGCTCCACCCCACGCAGGAGCCTGCGGCCTCGCTGTCGGCAGCCTGCCGCTGGCCTGCCGGCGATGCCTCGCAGACTCCAGGCCATTGTCTCCCCCCTGAGCCAGTTCCCCCCCCCTCTCTTGCGGTCGCCCTCACCTCCGCAACTCTCTGTTCGTGCCATTTCTGTTGTTCGAGTCTGTGATGCCCGCGCTCGCAGCTCCGACGCCCCTGCGGGGCCCCTTGCTCGAGGCAGCCGCGGTACTGGTCGGACATCCCGCCCGCGCTCTCCGTCGAGGGCTTCTTCGTGCCCCCGCTGACGGGGGACAGCCAGGCCGCGTCCAGGAGGAGGAGGAGGAGGAGGAGGAGGAGGAGGAGGAGGAGGAGGAGGAGGAGGAGGAGGAGGAAGAGGAGGGGGAGGAGGACAAGCTAGGTGCGCTAGTGTCATATCGGACGTCCTACCCCTCCCTCGCATCCTTTATCCTGGCGTAGATATCCTCAATATTCGCGCAGTCGGATGTCGAGCAGGGCAATGATCGCGAGAGGGTACGCGATGCATGGTAGAGCACGGCATGGCATGGCGTAGAAGAGCACGGCAGAGCGTAGCATGCCATAGCATGGCGTGGCATTGCGCAGTGATGCATTGCATGACAAACCATTACAACGCAAAGCATGGCATCGCACAACGGCGCAGAACACAACACCGCACAGCATGTCATGGCATGGCGCCAGTTTCCTTGGAGGGTAAGTGGATCGTCTTCGACAGGTCTGGGCTGGTCTGGAGTCGTGGCTCCATATCTAGCTCCTTGGGCTCTCCGAGAAGCTCCACACAAGGCGGGGCTGATGTAGAGCATCCGCTGGCTTTGAATTCAACATCGCCTTCTCAAAGCAGAATTGGGGCTCCTGCTTGATACTTCCCGAAAGCGACGACACCCCAAGGGGGGGGGCTTCTGCGGCGCTGAAATCAACGAATCGACACCGAGTGTGTAATCACTTCATATGGTATTTTCGGCGGCCCATTTTTTTGATTTTGAGGCCTATTTGGAAGGACCGAAAACGCCCGCGTTGCAGCGGGAGCACGATTTGGAACAACCAGAGGCGCAGCAATGGGGCCAGCGCTTCAATGGGAGTACATCTTGGGAACAAAAGCCGAACGACAACTCATTTCCCCGGAGTCCTGTGTAAACAAACAGTACGCGGAGGGGGGCGGACATCTTCTGGACGTCATCAGGGGAGAGAGGAGAGTAGTATTCAATATTGTGCAATTGTGGCTCGCCCGCAAAAGCCACACTTACACAATTCAGCGTTGCCAGCGGCACGCAAGAGCGGCAGCATGCAGCAGCACGCAGTAGCATTCGCGGAGTGCAGGGGTCGAGCCCCATGTTCGCATTTCAGGTCTTGGGCAGCGTGTCCACCATTGTAGACTTCGTGGGCGTAGTCCACGGGTCATATCTAGCCAGCTACAACGCCAGGACCAGCACGTGCGGGAAGGGCAGGCAGTGGCAGCGGGCTCTGGCCTTGCTGAGCGAGATGTGCGTGTTGACGCTAGAGCTCGACATCATCACTTACATGTCTTGGATCAGCGCGTGCGGGACAGGGGGGGCAGTGGCAGCGTGCCTTGTTGCTGCTGGGCGTGGTGCGGGAGGCGAAGGCGGGGAAGCGAAGTTGGAGCCACGCATTGCCATCATTTACAGTGCTGGAATTCGCTTTCTGGGGGGACAAAGGTGTGCGGGTCCAGCGCAGCAGCTTTGTATACTTCTACACAAGAACGTGCTGACCATGCGTCCGACGCTGCGGATAAGGGCGGGCCCAGCGCAATGTCCGACCCCACGGCATCTCCTTCCATGTGGTTGAGCCAATGGTGGGTGGCCAGCACTCCACTGCCTCGCTTGAACTGTGGGCCCGCCCACGCGCGCGTGTGTGTGTGTGTGTGTGTGTGTGTGTGTGTGTGTGTGTGTGTGTACGTGTGTGTGTGTGTGTGTGTGTGTGTGTGTGTGTGTGTGTGTGTGTGTGTGTGGGTCGAGGGTGCCAGGTCGCAGGCAGTTCATCGATTGTGGCCCCTTTCAGGATGGCTGATATCTGCCTCCTCGTCTGCTGCGCACAGCCCGCGAGGGTCGAGGGACCCGAGACGGCAAGCTCGCGGAAGGAAGAAGCCTGAGCCACTTTCCTGTGTATTTCGCCTTCGAGCATGTCGGCGGCGCGTTGGCAGCATTCATTTTCAAGAAGGTGCGGCCCGAGGCTTCCAAGGGCTGAAGAGGGCAGAGCCGAGATCAGGGCCAGGTTGGGCTCGGAGGTCCCAGGGGCCCGCGTGCCTGTGCTGACGGTCGGCCGCCGTTTCTTGGCGGATCCTCCCGCGGAGCCTCTCTCCATCGCGGCGTCGCCCAGGGCGGCGTGTCGGGAGCGCAAGCAGGCTGTGACCATGCCGATCTCGGCGGTCGGGAAGGTCCGGGCGAAAGAGGCCGTCATCTGCTGTGTCGTCCAGGTGCGCGCCGGCCCAGCGGCGGCCTGCACTTGCTCGGTCATCTGCAGAGGGAAGGGTTTCGCCCTCGGCCCCAGCGAGCCGTTCTGCTTGCCCGAGGCGGTGGTGGCTGAGGCCTGCTTCACGGTCGTTCTATGCTTCGTTGTGGCCAGCGTCGCCCGCTCGCGCGGCGCGGGAGGCAAGGGCCGGTCGCAGGCACACGGGCTCGCCGTCGGGTCCTGCATCGTCGTGGGCGGTTTCGCGATGCTCGCATGTCGGGTGCCAGCTTGAGTCCTGCTGTGTCCAATGCAACTTTTCTGATTGGCGGGTTCAATTTCGGAGTCGCTTCAATTATCTGATCGTCTTCGAGTTGGTTTGCGCGGGCGTCGCCACGCATTCCCAGTCGCACGAGGAGGCGGAGTTGTGCGGGCAGATGGAAGACCTGGACTCGGACGATGAGGAGTCGGACAATGAGAAGTCGGCGGATTGGTCCTCGAGGACGCCAGCGTGCGGCAACATTACCGCAGCCAGCGGCATTGCATTCTTGTGTCGAACGCGTCCTGCTTGTGTAGAGGGGTGCTCAGACGTATCTTACTCGTCCGGCTTCCATATGCCAGACACAAGTGCTTCCGCGCGCGCTGCCTCATCCCTCCGCCCTTCCTGCCCTTGACGTGCTCAGTGGGCTTTGGATACGAGCTGCCGAGCAGAACTTGGAGGTGCTCTGGTCCCTCTGCCCTTCCCGCCCCTGACAGGCGTAATTCACCAGCCACCAGATCACCCCAACAACCACTCCAACCCAACCCGACCAATTTGCCCTCCATTTCCAGTGGTGTGGGGGGGGGCGTCGGGGAACAATGAAAAAACACAGATGGAACCCGCAACACCCCCAACCCGAAATTCGAGTCTTCAGGTTGGGTTGGGGTGGTCTGGTAAGTAGTCAGTAAGCCGCGGCGCGCCGACCGCCGCCGCCCCGCCCGCCCCCCGGCTGCCTCCTCCGCCCTCCCTGCCTCCTGCCTCTCCGCCTTCCAGCCTCCTGCCTCTCCTCCTCACTCCTGCCTCTCCTCCTCCTCCTCTTCCTCCTTCTCCTCCTCCTCCTCCTCCTCCTCCTCCTCCTCCTCCTCCTCCTCCTCCTCCTCTCCTCCTCCTCTCCCCCTCCTCCTCCCCCTCCTCCTCCTCTCCCCTCCTCCTCCTCCTCCTCCTCCTCCTCCTCCTCCCTTGCCCTTCTCGCCCTTGACGGGCCCGAGAGAGCACCGGGCGGCAGGAACCGCACGGCCCGTCTGCATTGGGTCCGCTGGCCGGGCCTGTGGCGGCGCGACCTGCCACTCTCACCGGGCCCAGTCGGGCAGCGCAGGCGGCTCCTCTCGTGGCTGCCGGCGCCCCTGGGGTCAACCGCCCCCCTGCGCCTCGGGCGTGCGTGTCCGCGCGCGCCGTGAAAAGGAGAATGGCGGCCAGTCGTGCACGGACGGAGCCTTCGAGCGGATGCAGGCCACCGTGGCGATGCTGATCTGCGCTGTCGGTGCCTCGCCGTCCTGGGGCTCTGGCGTGTTCCTGAGCGCTGGAGCGTGTGCCATGTGCGCGGAGCTGCACCGTCAGTGCCACGCTTCCCCGCAGCTTTGCTGCGTCCCTGATCTGACCGCACACCGCGTGAGGCGGCGGAGAGCGTGATAGACCCATCCGGCAAAATGAGTCTTAGGGAGAGTTCAGATCTAGGATGGGGCGCGCCCCATCTTCGAGCAGCTGCGCCCTCTCGGCCATCGATTTCGATGGCCGCAAGATTGCCAGCCTCCTCCTCTCCCGCTGTCCATCGAAAGGAGGATGAGGAGGAGGCGGATATCCAGCAGCAAGCGAGCAGCCGTCGGGTGCATTGCAGGCCATTGATGCGAGTCGAGCGGTGCGCGAGAATGGAGGCCTGGACAGAGGCGAGGAGGATGGGTTCGGAGTGGAGAGGAACACCAGGCAGACAGTTTTGTTTACACCCTTGCATCCTAGAGAACCTTGCAGGGGAACTCCGAAGGTCTCCAGTGTCTTCGAAGACCTGAAGGCTTCCTGAGCCTTTGGAGGGGAGGACGGGGAAGAGGAGGGAGAACGATTGAGCATTGCCAGATCAAGTGCGTTCCAACCTTCTTGTTCTGTCTTTTCTTTGTCTTGGTCCCGTAAGCATACCCATCCGCCTCCCGTCGCCAATGTAGGAGGAAGTCTGTTCCGTTGTTGTCGCCGATTCCGCAGCTCTCTAGCGAAGAATGGCTAAATGTTTTTGGTGAGACGGCATGCCAGCGCCGCGCCCAGGTCGACGCGCTGTATAGCCATTTCGACCAGATCTACAAGCACATGGCGAGTGGTATATCGGAGACCGTGGCGGATGCGCAGGCCCTCATCTTCTGTTTGCTCTGCGCCCAGCCGCCAGGGCCGTTCTGACCGCGCTCTCCTCTCTTGTCTGTTTCCGCTGCCACGCCCACGACTGCCAACTGTCTGCCGGCCCCAGTGCTGTTAGGGCTGCTACTGCTGTTCCTGCTCTGCCGCCGCCTCTGCCGCTGCTCGGCTGCTTGGTCGGGACGCCTGCGATGGCCGCAGCGCGTACACCGGGGGCTTGATGCGACAATTAGCCTTCTGCGTGATATGCTCGCTCTTGCCTGACCGGCTTGGAGATTCGAGCCTGAGGTGAGAATGACGAGTGGGGACATTGGGACGCCCGTGTGCTGTCAGGCTACCATGGGCTTAATGGGTTCAAAGACGTTTGCAGTGGGAGCCCTGTGGGTCCCCAGTCGGGCTTCTGTGTTGATGCCTCTCCTCCCCTTCCCCCTTCTTCCTCCTCCCCGTCTCTACCGAGACCCCCAGACTCGCAAGACACCCTGAAACCAACGAAACCGCCCTCACTCCCCCAAAAACTATGATCCTTGTCCTCTTCGATATCCCTGTCCTCCCTGTCTCCCTCAGCATCCCCCCTCTGTATGGCTCTGGGCCATGCTTAGTATGCATGGCGTACCCACGTGCCGCATTCATAGCTTATCAGGCAATTCATGCAGTAACGGTATCTCGTGGCCTTCGGTCCATCCCGCCACCGTGCTTGGGTTGTGGGTACGAAGCCTGTTGGATGTTCGCTGGGATCTCGTGGGAGGCCTCTTAGGCCCCCCTCAGAGGCAGTATTGACCTCTTGGGGCCTCGTGGGCGCCTCTTGGGGGCCTCTTGGGGCGGAAGGCTCGGATTTTTGGTTCACGTTCCCTCTTTTGGGCCCCTTTTGGGGCCGTCTAGGGACCCTCTTGGTCCGCCTTGGGCGCCTCTTGGGCTGTCTTGGGGCGCTCGTAGGCCGTCTTGGGACCTTTTTGGAGGCCTTTTGGGCCGTCTTGGGGTGGTCTTGGTGGCCTCTTGGGCCGTCTTGGGGCGTCGGAAAGCAGGGCAGGCGAGAACGCTCAGCGATGTTTGCCTCTTGGTGCCCTCGCGAAAGGCCTCTTGGAGGCCTCTTGTGTGGCGTCCTGGAGGCCTCTTCGGCCCTCTTGAGGCCATCTTGGGCGTCCTGGAGCGATCTTGGGGCGACTTGGGGCTCTCTTTGACAATCTTGGGGGCCTCTTGGAGCCATCTGGGTTCGTTTCGGGGCTTCCTGGGCGGGGTAGACCGACGCGAGCGATTCTGGCAGGCCCTGGGCTGGCCAAGCACACGCCCGGTCGGCCCGGGACACGATTTGTCCGGGCCCGGACTTGCAATTCTGGCTGCAGCAGCAGCAGCAGCAGCAGCAGCAGCAGCAGCACAGCCCTCTCAGTGCTGCGTGAGCCTTGGAGCACTCCACTTCGTGCCAGAGGCACGGTGGCTGATTTGAGCGATCCACCTCCGCACTGCCTGGCTTTATTGGTCAGTTCAACCCGTCGATGTGGCCAGTACGCCAGCAGAAAAGACATGCAGCAGTCCTGGAATTCCAGCAGTTGCTGTTTGGCCAAATAGATAAGAGGCTAAAGCCTGATTGTGACTCAAGTTTGTTTTACTCTCATGCCAACGACGTTAGCGGCGACTCTGACCATGACGCAGCCATCATCGCAGAGCTAGAGAGAAAGGCTGCCAGCACAGGTATTTTTGCTTCGCGCTAGTCCACCTCCCTCCTCGACCCTCCTTCACTCCGCCTGCCTCTCTCTTTCTCTCTCTCTCTCTCGCTCTCTCCTCTCCATGCTCCTGCCTCCCTATCACCTTCCCACAGGTCCAGGAAGACTCCAGAGGGCCCCAGAGGTCTTCTGAGGTCTCCAGAGGCCTCTGGAGGGCTTGGAGACCCCTGAGGCTTTAGCATGGCCAGAAACAGCTCAAAACCCTTATCCTTTCGGCCGAGGTCGGGCTGGGCCCCCCTCCTCCTTCTCCTGCCGCCCCCCCCTGCGACAACTCACGGACTCTGCCCCTGTGGGTCCAATCGGCGCCGAGGTGCTGGGTGCCCCGGTTGGGTTTTCAGTTGGCTGGGGACTTCCTTCGAATCTGACCCCCTGCTTTTGTTTCCAAAAAATGGGCCCCCGCGGCCCTGCATGCCCGGCAGTTTGCCCGAGGCCCATCCGCTGGCGGCTTGCCCCGCGGTGACGCCTGGCTGGCCCACCTCGACGGCAAGTACTGCATGCACCTGGCCTGGCGCTCCACCAGTTTGTGGTGCATGACCAGCATCGTCTCCAGCCCCGTCCAGATCCCCACCATCCCACCACCCTAGTTGGGGACATGCCCCTCGAAACTCGAAGGGAACAGCCTATATCACCATCTAGGGGAGATCGGCTCACGCCCAGTCAACTGTCCGTTCCCCTTGTCGGAGGCTGAATGATAGTGACCGCCCCGCGTGGGCATGTGGGCCTGCTTGGGCCCCATGCGTTCCACCACGGATTGCGTAGGGTATCGGCGTCCCTAAACCACCCGTGGCCATGCGAGTGGATGCCGTTGGGGGCCCACTGGTGTGGTCATGCGGTGCGAGGGGACCTGATGCCCCGCCTTATCAGTGTGAGCGCCCTCAAATGGCACCGCGCCTTGAAAGAATGCGCGAGGCCCCGAGCGTGCTTCTGTGCCTGAAATCGCCTGTGCTCGAAGGGGGTGGGAAGACGAGGAATACTATTACTAATCGTAAAAATAGCAAGAACAAAAAGATGACAAATAATATTAATACAAAGAATTGTAATACTACTACGAATAAGATTGTTAATAGCCAAACTACTACTACTACTACTACTACTACTACTACTACTACTACTACTACTACTACTACTACTACTACTACTACTACTACTACTACTACTACTACTACTACTACTACTACTACTACTACTACTACTACTACTACTACTACTACTACTACTACTACTACTACTACTACTACTACTACTACTACTACTACTACTACTACTACTACTACTACTACTACTACTACTACTACTACTACTACTACTACTACTACTACTACTACTACTACTACTACTACTACTACTACGACTACGACTACTACTACTACTGCTACTACCACTACTACCACTACTACTACTACTACTACTACTACTACTACTACTACTACTACTACTACCACTACTACTACTACTACTACTTCTTCTTTTTCTTCTTCTTTTTCTTCTTCTTCTTCTTCTACTACTACTACTGCTACTACTGCTGCTGCTGCTACTACTACTACTACCACTACTTCTTCTTCTTCTTCTACTACTACTACTGCTGCTACTACTACTGCTGCTGCTACTACTACTACTACTACTGCTAGTAATCACATTCACATTTATAATAATAATGACAACAATAATATTAATTATACCAGCAGTACGGCTAACAATAATCTAGGGGGATCGATCGGCCAGTGTGGCCCAGGCCACGCGCGTGGTGATGTGCATCGGCGAAACGCTGCTCACAGGCGGCCGCCTGGGCCGCCTCTCCTTATCCACCCGCGCTGCTGCGTGCAGTGCCCTCCGCGGCCCGCCGGCTCTGCCGCCGCGCTCGCGCCCGCGCCTGCGCTGCGGGCAGGCGTGCTTCGACCCTTCGGCCTGCAGGGTTCAGTCGGCTGTGTCCCTCCCCAGGAGGAGTGTCCAGAAACAGTCAAACAATGGCCAGGGGATGATTTGTGGGAGCATTTTGGGGCAGTTTTGGTTTCCTTTAGGACTACTTTTTATTTTTCGTCCTAAAGTCCGCGTGTAGGGGGACACGCCCGACCTAACTGCAGTGGCAGAGTTTACACGCGGTTGCCCACCGCCCCCCCGCCTCCGTCCCAGTGGGCCGAAACATCGAAGCTCCAGGCCACGGCGAAGCCGTAGCCCGGACTTTCGCTAGAGGTCGACCGCCGCTGGGGCGCGCCCGTGCAGCCGTCCTCTCTACCCAGACATCCGGTGTCTCGTGTTTTTCAGATAGGCGCGGGCCCCCGACCTCTCGACCACTTCCCCGGGACCAGTTTCTCATCCCGAGCCGTTTTTTCCGACGGTCCCGAGGCCCAGTGGGGGCCCCAGGAGGTCCGCCATGATGAAGAGAACCGGAGCCTCGACTCTCTCGAGACACCAGATGCGTGGGCTGGGCGAGCGGCGAGAGCGACGGGAGTGATCTGCACGCCTGCGCCGTGCCTCCGCTCCGGCTGCCGCGAGGCGACCGCCAGCGCGGCCGCGGAGGCCGAGGAGCAGGGGAGGCGAGAGGCGCTGCAGGCCTGGCGGGCCGCGGCTGGCGCCGCCGGGGCTCGAGACGGGGACGAACGGACCTCTGCGGACCACTCGCGGGCGCCCTGCCGCTGCGGGTCCGATCGAGCGCGGGGGACCTCCCGAGATCGGGGCTCTCTCGCAGTGCTTTCGAGCCGGGCGTCCTCGCCCAGCTTCGGGCCCTGGGGCCATCACGGACCGAGTCGGCTCGACGGGCGCGGCAGAAAGACGGGTTCCACGTGAGCTCCAGTCGCGGTTCGTCGCGATGCTGCCATTGTTTCTCGCGGCGTCAGATCTCAGGGTCGGGCAACCCCGTCGAGGTTCCCTGGGCTGCAGGCGTCTCACTCGGCGACGCGGCTGGAGTCGAGGCAGGGGGCGAGCGGGCCTGGATCGGGCAGGCCCAGGACGTGCCGGAGCGCTCTCGGAGCGCTCTCGGAGTGCTCTGGAGCGGTCGTGGCGCCCGATTGCGTCCTCCAGATCCGCAGGGATCTCAGAGACTCCCGGGAGGAGGAGGAGGAGGAGGGGGAGGAGGAGGAGGAGGAGGAGGAGGAGGAGAGGGGAGGGGAGGAGGGGGAGGAGGACAAGCTAGGTGCGCTCGCGTCATATCTGACGTCCTACCCCTCCCTCCCATCCCTTACCATGGCGCTGATTTTCTCTATCCGCGGACGCGTGTCGTAGCGGACCTGTGGCTCCGCGCGCGCGTGCGTAGTGGGTGGTGGTGCACGTGCGTGCGTGCGTGCGTGCGTGCGTGGTGTCGTGGTGGTGGTGGTGGTGGTGGTGGTGGTTGGTGGTTGTGGGGTGGTGGTGGTGGTGCTGGTGGTGGTGGTGTGTGGTGGTGGTGGTGGTGTGGTGGGTGGTGTTGGTGGGTGGTGGTGGTGGTGGTGGTGGTGGTGGTGGTGGTGGTGGTGGCGGTGCGGCGCGGTGGTGGCGGGCGGATGGGCGCGCGAGAAAAAGGCCCGCGCTGGGGCGAGAACGCCATCCTGAACGACGGAGGCCAAACACCGATCCGAAAATGAGGCCCACGCTGCAGCGGGAGCACGATTCGGAACGATTCGGGAGCAGAAATGAGGCCGGCGCCTCAACGAGAGCAGCATTTTGGGAAAAAATGACGCCGGCGCCTCAGCGAGAGTCGTTTCCCGGGATTTCCCGGGCATCCTGTGTGTAAAAAACAGTACGCGGAGGGTGCGCGGCCATCACCCGGACGCCATCAGGGGAAGAGGGAGAGTATTTTCACATTGAGTAATTGTGGAGGAGGAGGATGGAGGAGGAGGTGGAGGAGGAGAGGAGGAGGGGGAGGAGGAGGAGGAGGAGGAGGAGGAGGAGGGAGGAGGAGGAGAGGGGAGGAGGAGGAGGAGGAGGGAGGAGGAGGAGGAGGAGGAGGAGGAGGAGGAGGAGGAGGAGGGGGAGGAGGAGGAGGAGGAGGAGGAGGAGGAGGAGGAGGAGGAGGAGGAGGAAGAGGAGGAGGAGGAGGAGGAGGAGGAGGAGGAGGAGGAGTTTTTGTTTTCGGGCCCCATGGGGCGGTCGCGGGCGCCACGCGCACGGTCCACGCGCGGCTGGATGTCCTCTGGCATCGGCGTCACCCCAGCATACTTCTACTAGATGTGGTTCGTCCCCCCAGGGGCGACGCGCGCACCGAGACATCTTATAGGACATGCGTCGTGGCGGGCGCTCTCTGGCCACACCGCTTGTGAAACGACATACTACAAGATGGGTGTACTATCTGTTCGGGTCGGATGCGCGCCTCCAAGGAGGACATATAGTATTAGTATGTCTCTGTGCGTCCCATGGCAGGTCGCATTCACTCCCGAGCGCCGTCCATGCACACCTCGCGAGAAGAGAATGATAATCAATGCTTGGGGACAGAGGCCCGGTCCCCGGGAAAGGGTGTCGAGATGGCCGCTGGGGCCACGCGCCGAACACAAATCGCGGCGTCGGAGGTAGGGGGAGCTGGCGGGCGGTGGCGGTCAGCAGGCCCTGCACCCTGCAGCGGGTCGGTTTTGCCAGAGATAGGTCCTCGTCCGTTCGTCCGTCCGTCTGATACGGTGGGGGCGTTGGTTAAGGAATGCGCCCAGGAGGCTTCAGACCCTGGGGGATTCCCTATCTGATGAGGGCGGCAGTGTTATCCATGGCCGATCCACGATCGGAGTTCCACCGGCTTCCAGACCCTGGATTCCTTATCCAAGGGTTCCTTATCCAATGCCCTCACCATACCACGCTAGGCGGTTCGTCTGGTATCTTGATGCCCTTCGGGCGAACAGGGCCAGTGTCAGCTGCGGCGCCGGCAGGATCTGCGCCCGCAGCCTCGAGAGCATCGTTGGGGGGGTTGCGCACAGAGAGCGCCCGCAGGTAGCCCGGTCTGGCCTCAACAGGCCCACATGATAGTCCTGGACGGTCGTAGCGGCAGGGATCGTCCTGGCCTGGGGGCGCCGCTGGATGCGGCGCGGGTCTGTCGGGGCTGCCCTTCCACGGGGTACCGATGATCACTTGCGGCGCTTCTTTCGTAGTGATATCAGCGTCTTGCGCAGAGGCTGCCGTTTCCTTCCGCATCGGTGCGCCGTGCGACGGCGCGAGTCTGGCCCGTCCTCACGAAGACCTCGCAGTGCGCCCGCCGGGTGCGCACGCGCAGCGCGAGCTCCGTGCCGAGCAGCTGCCGGGAGCGCCAGGGCCTCGAGCTGCCCGCGTCGCAGCTGACGATCGGCAGCCCCTCGTGCCCGCTGCCGTGGCCGCGGCCGCTGCTCCATCTCCCCTGCCCTCCGCGGGTGCCCGCTCCCGCTCCTTCTGGCCCTCTCCCCCGGGCGCAAGGCGCGCCCAGCGCTCCCCGCGGAGTGCCTCGGCATGGCCGCGGCAGCCTCCGATGGCGCGCCGCCCAGAGAGCGTGTGCTGCCGTGGCCGCGCTGCTCACCTCGGGAGGCCTGCCTGGGGGCCTCCAGGGGGCCCCTCCGGCGGGTGCCGACCGACGCCGCAGTGTGAACCCAGACGGCCGGGGCGCGGGCCCCCGACCCCCCGACCCCTTCCCGGGGCTTAGCTTTTCATCCCGAGCCGTTCTCTGAGGGCCCCGAGGCCCGGTGAGGGCCCCGAGAGGCGGAAAACGATGAGAAACCGCCGTCCCGATTTTTTGTCGGGACGCCGGATGTCTGGGCTGGGCGAGGAGCGCCTCCAGCCGAGCGGCGGTTTGCTGCGCGAGAGGCGCGGCCTAGCGGGAGGCATCCGCGAGCCGCGCCGTGTCCGGCCGCCCAGGGCCCGTGTAGCCATTTTGGCTCGCGCCATCTTCGGGTGTTGCTAGAATTGCCCCTGGCCCAAGGTGCCCCCAGGATTTCCAACGAGGGCCCCGCGGCCTCCAGAGCACCCCCCTCGAGGCCCAGAGGGCCCACGGGGCTCCAGAATGGAGAGAAGAGCTGGGGGCACCTTGGACCAGGAGCACCTTTAGCAGCTTCCGAATTCTGGCTCAAGCCGTGGGTTCGAGTGTCGGGGCCGGCGGCCTGGCGCGCAGAGTTTGGCGCGCGCGCGGGCCGCGCGCGATGGCGATGCGCTGGCCGGGCGCGCATGCAGTAGGGCAGCCATGCCATCGCGCGGCAACCGCGTGGACAAACGTGGCTGTGCCTCCCAGTGCCCTGCCTCCCCGAGGGCTGGATGTGGAGCTTCCTCGCTGCCCCACTCGCGCCTGGAGCGGGTCGGAGTGTGCACTTGGCACCAGGCTGCCGGGCCGGGTCCGCGAGCCAGGGGCCTGGAGTTCGAGGCCGCGGGCGGCTGCATCGAGGGAGAGATGCGGGGAAGCCGCGGCAATGACGAGTCCAGGCTCGCTCGACGTGGGCTCGGCTGCGTCGGGGAAGGCTCCCTAGCATATTGCCATCTGGCTGCAGCGAGCCCTGAGCCTGCCAATCCTGGCCCATGGCCTCGTCCAGCAGCGGGAAGCAAGGCGCAAATATCGCCCAAAGAAGCTTCCCGCTGCTCCTGGGCAGGCCCCGAGGGAGGGAGGCATGGCGCCCCTCGGGGCGCCTCGGGGCGCCGGGACGGTCTCCAGGGGAAAAGCCGAGGGCGTCGGCAGCCCCGAGCGGGAGGGCAGCCCCGCACGCGACCGCTCCCATGCTCCCCGTGCGAGGGCGGGCTCTGTGGGGCCTGCTGCAAGCGGCGGCCCCAGCGACCGCCTGCGGCCCCGAGGCGAGCGGCGACGCGGCGCGAGCGCGCCACCTGGGCCGGCGCCCGCGCAGTGGCGGCAGCAGCAGCAGCAGCAGCAGCAGCAGCAGCAGCAGCAGCAGCAGCAGCAGCAGCAGCAGCAGCAGGAGCAGCAGCAGCAGCAGCAGCAGCAGCAGCAGCAGCAGCAGCAGCAGCAGCAGCAGCAGCAGCAGCAGCAGCAGCAGTGCCACCCAGGCCGGCGCCCGCGAAGTGGGCCGGCCCCCCCGCCGCGGCGCCGGTGGCGCCGGTGGCGGCGCGCACCCCAGATTTCAGGGGCAGCAACGACGGGGGCGCCAGCAGCTTCGAGGGCAGCTCCGACAGCAGTCCCCCGGCGGGGGCTGCGACGAAGAATGCTCCGACGGAAACTCCGCCCGCGGCGGTGGTGCGACCGCCCCATCGAGCTCGAGTACGACGGGCTCGGGTGGGTTGGGCTGCCCGGTCAGCCTGCGTGGCGACCCCACCGCGGGCTCGGGGCCAGGCGGCCTCCACCGGGCAGGGGATGTGGCGCCCTGGACTGACCGAGGAAGCCGCGAGGTTCGCAGCCCCGCCGATGGCCGCCGAGCCAGCCGAGGACGCGCGGGCCGACTGCGCCGAGGAGCTCGCCGAAGCCGCCGCGGCGGCCGCGCGCGCGGCAGCGGCAGCTCGCGCCGCGGAGGCGGCGCAGGCGGAGGCCTTGGCCGCGGCTGCGGAGACGGCGGCCGCCGAAGCCGCCGAGGCCGTGCGAGCGGAGGTGCGCGCCCTCGTTCAGCGCATCTGCTGGCCTGCGGCGAGGGCCGCCGCGCGTCGCTTCAGCTTGCCCGACGGGCAGCGCCTGGCCGCGGTCCGCGGCCGGGTCGCGCGGCGCGTGCTGCGCTTTGCGGCGCCGCAGTTCTGCAAGCTCGCCGAGCTGCTGGCTGGCGCCGAGGGCTAGCCGCGCCAGGGCGCGGCGCCTGGCTGCGCGTTGCCGTGGCCGTCTGGGGCCGAGGCCCGCCGGGCCTGGCGCGGGCCGGCGCGCCTCCCTCCCTCCCCCCCTCCCCCCTTCCTTCCCTCCGCCCCCCCCGCGCCTGCGACGTTCGTCTGTCCTCGGTCGTTGCTCGTCGGCGTGTCGTGTCGTTTCCCTGTTCCCTGCCACTGGGCTGCTCTTGCGAAAATTACCCCGTGACGTACGCCAGGGTGCGCCATCAGATGTGCGAGCTATGAGGGAAGCGCGAGTTGTGCGACTCGCAGGACAGTGGCAGAAAAAACGAGGACTGAGGCCCCGGGCTCGAAGAGGATATGGGGTGGGAACGAGGAGGGGAAAACGACGCAAGAGGGGCTGAAAAGTTCATGCGGCAGCAGCAGCGAGACGGTGGAATGAGGAAGGGGACCACAACGAAAGAGGCAGGATGAGGAAGGAGGGTGGCGATCATTTTCCAGGGGCACGCTGGGTAAGCAAGCGTCGTGACTCGCGCCATGTCGCTCTGGCGCTCCAAAGGATCAGCTTTTCATAGCTTGTGCAAGAAGCGAGCGAGGCCGAGCTCGCCCGCCACGTTTCCCGCTTCCTTCTGGTACCTTGCAGCGCGGGAACCGAAAACCCGCAGGCGCGCCGCCAGGTCTTCGGGCGGCCCGCGGGAAAGGAACTCACAGCTAACGTGGATCTGCGTGGGATGTCACTCTGCTTGGCCCCCGCACAGCCCTCGGATGCGGCGACCGTTTCGCAGTTCGCAGCCCTCCAGGAATGGCGAGGTCTAGTCTGAGTCTGCGTAGGGCGTCACTCCGCTGGACCCCCCAGCGGCTCTGTAGAGGGGCGACACTTTCACACATCGCAGCTCGCGGGCATGTCGAGATCGAATCAGGGTCCGCGCAGGACGTCGCTCTGTTGACCACCCCAGCAGTCCGCGAAAGTGGCCACAGTGACGCAGATTGCAGCTCACGGGCACGGCGAGGTTTTTTTTTTTTTTTTTGTTTTTTTTTTTTTTTTTTTTAGTTTTCTCTCCTTTTTTGTAGTTTTCTTGTTTTTTTTCTATTTCTTTGTAATGCGATTTTTTTCTTTTCCTCAGGATCTGCATGGGGCGTCATTCCGCTGGACCCCCCAGGAGCTTTCAAAAGTGGCGCCACCTTCGCAGACCACAACCCCCAGGGATGGCGAGATCCAGCTTGAATCTGCGTGAAACGCCACTCGTTGGACCCCCCAAGGAACCGTCGAAAGTGGACACATTTTCGCATATCGCACCCTCCCAAGGGTGACGATGTCCAACTTAGTCTTCTCTTCAAAAGTGGCGACAGCGTCGCTGATCGCAAGCCCCTGATGGCGAATTCTAGTGTAGGTGCGCGCGTGACGCTATTCCATGGACCCCCAGCAGCCCTTGCAACTGGCGACAGATTCGCATATCGCAGCCGTGCCAGCGATGGCGAGGTTCAGTGTAGGTCTGTGTATGAAGTGAGTCCGAAGGACCCCACCAGCAGCCCGCGAAAGTGGCGGCAGTTTCGCAGATCGCAGCCACCCCCAGAGATGGCGAGGGTAGGTCTTCGTATGATGTTAACCCGTTGGATGCCCCGTAACGAAAGCGGCGACGGCTTCGCATATCGCAGCCCGCCGTGGATGGCGAACTGTAGTTTAGGTTTGCGTATGACGTCACTCCGCTTGGCCCCCAGCAGCCTTGGAAAGTGTCGACGTTTCCTCAGATCGTAGCCCCGCAAAAATGGCGAGGTTTAATCCAGGTTTGCGCATGACGCCACTCCAGTGGACCCCCCCATCAGCCTTCGAAAATGGCGACAGTTTCGCGGATCGCGCTCCCCCTAGGAAAGGCGAGGTGTCGTCACTCTTGTGGGCCCCTCCCCCAGCAGCTTTCGAACGCGGCGACAGTTTCGCAGATCGCAGCCCCGAAGGTTTGCGACGTCTAGTTTAGGTCCGCGTATGACGCCACTCCGCTGGACCCCCCAACAACCTTCGAAAATGGCGACAGTTTCGCACATCGCAGCCGCCCCAGGATCTCGAAGTTTTATTACGTCCGCGTGTGACGCCACTCCGCTAGACTCCCTCGCAGGCCTCGGAAGTGGCGACAATTTCGCACATCGCAGCCACCCCGCCGCCGGGAATGCGAGGTCTTGGTTCAGTCTGCGAAAAGCGTCACCCTGCTGGGCTCCCGAGCAGCCTTCGGCAGTGGCGACAGTTTCGCAGATCGCAGCCCCCCCTGGGAATGGCGGGGTATAGTTTAGGTCTCTACATATGACGTGAACTCGCTGGACCCCCCAAGGGGCCCTCGAAAGTGGCGACGGTTTCGCACATCGCAGCCGCCCCGCCGCCAGAAATGCGAGGTCTTGGTTCAGTCTGCGAAAAGCGTCACCGTGCTGGGCTCCCGAGCAGCCCTCGGCAGTGGCGACACTTTCGCAGATCGCAGCCCCCCCTAGGAATGGCGGGGTGAAGTTTAGGTCTCTGCGTATGACGTGAACTCGCTGGACCCCCCAAGGAGCCCTCGAAAGTGGCGACGGTTTCGCACATCGCAGCCCCCCAGGGAAGGCGATGTTGTTTAGGTTTGAGTATGACGTCATTCCGCTGGGCCCCTCAGCGGCCCTCGAAAGTGGCGGCGGTTTCGCAGGGAAGGCGAGGTGTAATTTAGGGCTGCGTATGACCTCACTCCGCTGGACCGACCCCTCAACGGCCCTGAAAAATGGCGACGGTTTCGCGGATCGCAGCCCGCCATGGATGGCGAACTGTAGTTTAGGTTTGTGTATGACGTCACTCCGCTGGACCCCTCAGCAGCCCTTGAACATGGCGACAGTTTCGCGGATCGCAGCCCCCAGGGATGGCGCGGTCTAATCTAGGTTTGCGCATGACGCCACGCCGCTGGACCCCCCCCCAGCAGCCTTGAAAAGTGACGCCAGTTTCGCAGATCGCGCTCCCCAGGGATGGCGCGGTGTTGTTTAGGTCCGCGTGACGTCACTCTGCTGGACCCCCCAGCAGCCTTTGAAAGTGGCGTTAGTTTCGCAGATTGCAGCCCCCAGGGGTGGCGAGGTCCAATTTAGGTTTGCGTATGGCGTCGCTCCGCTGGCCCCCCCTCAACAGCCTTCAAAGGTTGAGCCAGTTTCACAGATCGCAGCCCCTCCAGGAATGGCGAGGTGTAGTTTAGGTCTGCGTATGACGTGAGTCTGCTGGACCCCTCATCAGCCCTTGAAACTGGCGACAGTTTTGAAGATCGCAGCCCCCCAGGGATGGCGATGTTCAGTTTAGGTCCGCGTATGACGTCACTCCACAGGACCCCCGATCACCTTTTGAAAGTGGCGACAGTCTCGCAGATCGCAGTCCCAAGGAATGGCGAGGTCAAATTTTAGTCCGCGTATGGCGTCACTCCACAGGACCTCCTGGCAGCCCTCGGCAGTGGCGACAGTTTCGCAGATCGCAGCCCCCCAGAGACGGCGAGGTGTGTAGGTCCGCGTATGACGTCACTCCGCTTGACCCCCCTCGCAACCCTCGAACGTGGCGGCAGTTTCGCAGGTCGCAGCCCCCCAGGGATGGCGGCGAGGTTTAATTTAGGTCAGCGGACCTGCGTACGATCGGTGAGGAGGAGGAGGAGGAGGAGGAGGAGGAGGAGGAGGAGGAGGCGGAGGAGGAGACGGGAGGACGAGGCCAGTGGAAGAGCAAGGGCAGCAGGAGGAAGAGCGAGGCATGAGGAGAGAGGTGGCTGTGGAGGAGTGGAGCGACCGGCGTCCGCCGCCCGGCAGCCCTCCAGGTCGGGGCCAAACCGCGGCCTCCGGCCGGCGCTTTTGGCTCTGGCGACGGCCACCCCGCCCCAGGCCGCCGAGGAGGCCGAGCGCCGGCGAGCCGCGGAGGAGCGCGAGAGGGGCGAGCGGGAGGCTGCGGCTCCGGGGCCCTCGGCGGCCCTCGGCGGCCCTCGGGGTGCTTCGGCGGCCCTCGGCGTGCCTCGGGCATTATTGGCGCCCCAGCTGTCAGCTTGTGAGGGCATCTGTTTGCAGACTTGCACTAGCGAGCCGCAAGCCCCAACTGATAGTAGATTAATTTGCAGGTAGGCCAGCGGCAGGGCAAGTAGTGTCGTGAGCTGGGTTGACCACACTGTGCCAAGTTGTGCCCCCAGATCGTTGTCTTATTCATGGTTTTGCCGATCGGCGCGGGCCCTCGCCCCTCCCCCCATGGAGTAGATCTTGGCTGTTTTTGGCGCCTGTTTCAAGCAGGTGGAGTCTCCCCCATAGGACTCACTGTTGCCATAGGACGCATTGTTGCAAACAAGCGCATGAAGCAGAGGTCTGGAGGCCTCCCCCCTTCACCCTCTGCTGCCCAATGTCGAAACGTCGAATATGAAAACGTTCACCAGTCGGTTCGGACACCCTCGATGCACATTGAATTCTGTGAGTAGTGGCGACAGCTCATCTTTCAATCGCCTTCTCCCAAGCGAGGCCTCGAAGGCCGCGAAGGCCCCTCGGCGCCATTTTGGGTCAGTTGGGCGGTCTTGGAGATCTTTGGGCATTCTTGGGCTGAGTTTAGGTCTCTTTGGCTGGTCTTGGATACCCTGGGGGCCTTCTTTAGCAAACTTGGGGGCCTCCTTGACTGTTTTTTGGCGTAGCCCGAATTTGTCTTAGTGAGCTGACTGAACGGCGGCTGGGGGCGAACCCTACTGCGGAACAAACCTCAGGCTGTTTAAGTTTCGGCGGCCAAGGGCACAGCCTAGGACGCAGCCACTCGAAGCCCTTTTTGAGGTTCCGCAGCCCACTGCGCAACCCGCTGTGCAACCAACAGCGGGTAGTTTCATTTCGGCTGCCGTGGGCGCAACCTGTGGCTGAAACTCCAGCAGTGCGGCCTCTCAAGTTTCTGTGCCCCCTGGCGCAACCTGCAGTCAGGGCGCCGACAGAGGGATCACTCTGGGCCCCGGGGGGCCTCGGGTTGTCGGCCCGTTCCTCGGGTCGGGGTCGGGGAGCCTGTTCGTGGACGAGGCCCGCCGCGGCCAGGAAGGCCCCTTCGCTCCTTGTTTGGCGTTCCTTCTGGCGGTGCCGTGGCTGTATGGCGCAGCCCAGCCCATAGCGCAGCCTCCTCTTGCGCAGCAGTTCGTGCTGCCTAGTGGTGCAGACTGTGGCGCGTCCTGTAGCGCCACCTGTGGCACGATCCATGGCAGAATCCATGGCGCAACCTCGAGCAACCCCACGGCGCAGCGCCCGACGCAACAATCTGCAGCAATCCATGGCGCAACCTAGTGCGCAACGTCTGGTACAGCCCATGGAGCCACCTCTGGCGCAACCCACGGCGCAAACTATTGCGCCACCAATGGCGGCACCTCTGGCGTCATCGATGGCGCTATTTGCTGGAGCAATCAATTGCGCGCTCTTTGACGCAAGCTACGGTTCAACCTCGGGACCTCGGGGGGGGGGGCAGAGGACGGGGATGGCGGTCGGAAGGGATTAGGAAGGACAGGGAATGGAGGCGGAGGAAGAAGAGGCGAACGACACCGACGACGAGGCCTAAGGCGAGGACGAGTATTTGGACGGGCCTCAGCGTGGTTGTCCTCGCAGCTTCCGCAGGGCCACGCCTGTTATGTGCTCGCCGCTGGAGCGGTGGGCCAGTGGGGCACAGATGGCAGGCCGTCTTAGGCCAGGACCGCCCGAGCTTCTGAAGGCCAGGAGAGGACATCCGCCAACCTCCGTCCGAAGGACTCGCATCAACCCCGCTTCGCCGCCGAAGCGTACGGTAGGTTCGTGTAGGGTCGTCCGGCGGCGACCCCGCCAGCGGCGTTCAACGTTGAACGCCGCGGGCGACCCAGAATCGTTCGATGTGGAAGGATTTGGACGTTTCGGGAACGGCCGATCGTTCAAGGTTGAACGATCCCCGCGATGTCGGGAACCTACACCAGGGTCGACACGACACGAACCTGCCGTATGCCCGCGCTTCTCCTTCCGACGCGCTGGTGAGGTCCAGCCAGTGGTTATTCAGATGTAGGTGTCGCCAACATCGAACATTTGCTTCCGAGGATGCCACACACGATCGCCAAGTACAGAGGCGCGAATCTGCCTAAAACTCCCCCCAGGGCCAGTTTAGGCACAACCCTGGCAATTTGCTCGAACCCGTTTCCGCCATGGCGACGATCTCATCCCCCCACGGCCAATAAGTCGGCTCGCCGATTTGGGGGACATACCGGCGTGTCAGACATGGCCAGCATGGGGACGGAATCGCCTTCCGTTTGAGAGGGCCCGACGTTGCTGGTTTGTCCTGTTTCGTGGCCCTCTTGCGGCGCTCATGGCGCCATCTTGGGGCCTTCTCTTCTGTTTGTTTTCGGGACGATCTTGGGCTCTTCTTGGGGCTTTGTGAGCCGTCTTGGGGTCGCTTTCTGGGCCTCTTGGCCCCTCTTGGAAAGCGGGGGCCCTTCTTAGAGCCTTCTCGAGTTGGACAACGGAGAGTGCCCAAATAATGCGCGAGCGCGTAGAGGGGGAGCACCCCTCTCTGGGAGAAGCTTTCGGCTCCAGAGCGTCGTCGTCGTCGTCGTCGTCGTCGTCGCCGTCGTTCGCCGTCGCCGTCGCCGTCGCCGTCGCCGTCGCCGTCGCCGTCGCCGTCGCCGTCGCCGTCGCCGTCGCCGTCGCCGTCGCCGTCGCCGTCGCCGTCGTCGTCGCCGTCGCCGTCGCCGTCGCCGTCGCCGTCGCCGTCGCCGTCGTCGCCGTCGCCGTCGTCGCCGTCGCCGTCGCCGTCGCCGTCGCCGTCGCCGTCGCCGTCGTCGCCGCCGCCGCCGTCGCCGCCGCCGCCGCCGTCGCCGTCGTCTTTGTCGTCGTCGTCCGCCGCCGCCGCCGCCGCCGCCGCCGCCGCCGCCGCCGCCGCCGCCGTCGTCGGTCGTCGTCGTCGTCGTCGTCGTCGTCGTCGTCGTCGTCGTCGTCGCGTCGTCGTCGTCGTCGTTGTCGTCGTCGT